ATGGAATTGATAGAAACTGCAAAACACAGCTTTTACAGCATACCTCTAACACCACCGTCAAGCTAACTTCACTTACGGGGTCAACCTCACTACCGCTGAAGCCACAGAGAGCAGTGTGGACCAGCTCGACCTTCACGTCTAACTCCATCTGTCGCTAGCACTTTAAGAAAATGATGTCTGTCGAACTCCCCGTGTCTATAAGCACCCTTTGCACCTCGTAACTGGCCACCTCCGCAGTGATGATCAAATTGTCATTATGTGGTACAACGAGCCCCTGCACATCATCAGCTCTAAACTCTAGAGTGGCCGAGCTCCTCTGTTCCTGCACCTTGGCCACCTCATTGGCAACACCCTTTCCCCGGTAGGTCCTCTTCCTCTCCCTATGCGAATCTCCATCTATAGGGCCTCCCGCGATCATGTGTATTATGCGCTTCTTAACTGGTTTGTCAGGTTGCTCATCAGTCCTCCTTCGCTTGTCACCTGACTCGTGCCCTTCCCGACGATCATCCTGGTGCTCTTTATCCTTGATAACGAATTCCTTTAAGTGACCCTCCCTAATGAGCCGCTCAATTTCATCTTTCAACTCTCGACAGAAATTGGTAGAGTGGCCATAATCGCGGTGGTACCGATAATATCTATCTTTTCCTTCTGAAAATTTCCGCGGTGGTGGTAAGGTCTTTGGTTGTGCGAGCAGCTTATCCTCCCCCCGCTTCTCCATCATCTCCAGGATCTCCTGTTGTGGAGCATTAAGTAGATTGTAGTGCTCGTACCTCAGACCCCTGAATCGATCCTCGACTCGAGACTCCTTAGGGGGAGCTCGTCGATCACCCTGTCGAGGCCTTTCCTCCACCTGTTTAGCCTTTATTTTATCATTTTGGATGAAGTCCGCATCTTATTCTTCCATATTCACATACTTTCTACACCTCTCCAAGAGCTCGTCAAATGACCTTGTCGGCCGCTTTGCCAAGGAATCCCTGCATTTCCCAAGTCTCAGGCCCCGCGTAAGACCTCCAGCTTTGATTTCTTCCAAGGCAGAGGGGACCTCCAAGCACTCCTTAGTTTACCGTGCTACATATTGCCGCAAGGTCTCCCCTTCCTTCTATTGCATATTAATCAACGTGAGGTACAAAAACAGAGAGCTGAACTTCTTAAAGCAATCGATAGATCCTGCTGGCAGCTGGTGGAACCAATCTTGCGCCGACCCCTTTAATGTCGTCAAGAAGGCTCGGCAACTCACAGCATCACTATACCTGTGCAGCACGGCTATGTTGTCAAACGATCTCAAGTGCCTGGCTGGGTCTGCCGATCCATCATAGGACAAACTCAACTCCGTGAAGTTGCTAGGCAAATCCCCTCCTAAGACATCCTCTGCAAAAGGGTGTCCTCACGAAACTACAGGTCTCTTACCCTACACCCGAGCTTGGAGATCCCGCATTTGAGCTGCCAAACTCTCCAAGGTTAACCCATCCAGTTGTGTTGTTGCCACCAGCTGGGAGGTCACAGATCTAACATCATCATCATCGACTCTCTCCGAACGCTGGTGCTGTTGCGGATGCAATGGGACCTGTCGTTGAGGTGCCAGTGGCTGCCGTGGCGGAGGTTATTGAAACGACTCATTAGAAGCTCTCTTATCCACCTTTGAGCCCAGCTTGTCGCCTCAGCAATGATCCTTTCTAACTCCAACCTGGTCATCTGAATAACCGGATCCTCCCATGGTGCCAAAGAAACATTGCCCCTCAGAGGATTTTGTGCTCCTACCTCGACCAGCACCTCCGGATCCCAAAGCTCCTTGATTCACCCCCCCTCCCCCCATCAACCGTGGTGTCAACCTCCTTCCTTTTGTCTGTCAAACCACCTGATCCTCCCGTGTTCGCCGCGCGCCTCTGAGATTCCGATGGTGGTATCGGGTCACGCTTGGGCCCAACAACATCTCGTTGGGGGTGACGGGTGATGGTGACAGTCCTAGCAGGGGACCTGTCCCGAAGGCCCTCCGCGCCCACTCCTCATCCATCTTCTTAGCCAAGCTCTTCGTCGAATTATCTCCCGCCATGACTCCTATCGTTCTTCTTGTTTAGTGAGAAAAAACGGCCTTTGAAACTTCGGTAGAAGACTGAGACTCCCCACAGACGGCGCCAATTTGTTATGCCACAAATACTTCAACCGCTGGACCGCTCCTCTCGAATTGGATTGCGTCTCCTTGATCGTCGGTACCTGCAAAGCACGCCGGGGGTGGTCCCGGCACGAACACACCGATGCTCAAGTCAGTGATGGTCTAGAAAGAAAACGGTAAAGTAACGAGATAACTCGTGTATGTGTGTTGTGTAAAATGAATGAACCTGCTCCTTTTATAGGAGAAGCTTGAAGAGTCCCCATGAGACAAGAAGTCTTCTTTGTATAAACCACTTAATTAAGTTAAGGGTCTTCTGAATCCCAAGAGTCCTTGTTGCTATCAACTCCTTCGTAACTTGATCACCAAGCCTCCCTTCAGGTTCTAACCTCTTCGACGGCACACGAGGGCCACCGAGCACATGAGGGCCGCCGAGCAAAAGAGGGCCGTCGAGCACACGAGGGCCGCCGAGCACACGAGGGCCGCCGAGCACACGAGGGCCGCCAAGCAACGGAGTGCTGCCGAGCACACGAGGGCCGCCGAGCACATGAGGGTCGCCGAGCACACGAGGGTGCCACGCACTTGAGGGTGCCGCACACTTGGGGGTGCCGCGCACTTGAGGGTGCCGCGCACTTGAGGACACCGAGCACACGAGGGTGCCGCGCACTTGAGGGTGTCGCGCACTTGGGGGTGCCGCGCACTTGAAGGTGCCGCACACTTGGGGGTGCCGCGCATTTGAGGGTGCCGCGCACTTGGGAGTAGCATAATAATACCGTGGAGTTAGACAGAATACCCAGCTGCCTAACTGCCAAGGTGCTTAGTTGGTTCTCTCCATACAAATGTGATGACCGAATCACGACCGGCCTTTCATGAACCACTACTGACGACCACATCACGTAGGATTTTCCGTTGGATTTTAGCTATTCCAACGGCCGTTTTACCTACGAATTTTTATACGTAGGAATATCCGTTGGAATAGCTATGCCAACGGAAAATATAAAAAATTCCAACGAAAATTTTCCGTTGGAATGTAAGAGTTTTTGTAGTAGTGAGGTCGATGGAGCTTGTATTAAACATGTAGCGCCTTGGTTCAGGTATGCTGATGTAGTTATTAGATAAGTATTCTCATATTCGAAAGACTTTATAGATCATCCATCTGCTGGAGTTTATATGTCTTTCTGAAAGTATGTTCAATTGCCAAGGACCAAAATAGAGATGAAATACTAGGAATCACAGCAATACAACCTTGGAAGCCAAAACAATATGAGCAGTCCTACATTATAGAAGTATATATACAACAAAAGAGAAAACTAAAAAACTCCATATTAAACAGATTCTTACATACGCACCTACTATATATTTATCGTCTAGTAAACAAGGGAAACAATCTCTCTTGCAGGGAAGTTCGGTGAGAAATCATGAACACCATAAACACGAGCAACACAGCCACCCCTAATGGAGACCCTCCTACCCTGTGAAGCGCGTCCTTGTCCGGGAGAGACAAGTAAAATGGGACCCTTGCTCGGTCCTCGCTTGATAGCCAGTGCACAAACAAGAGCAATACCACGGGAAACACCATTAGACATATCCTCAAGTTGTCCATCATTTCCTCCAGCACCGACTCATAGTTTACGTAAACGGTGAAAGACAACAATACAAACACAATGGCTATGAAGAAGAGAAAGCGGACCGGAAGTGACAAATATTGGAGGTAGTCATAGTAACCAGATTTTTGGTATCTGGCCATGCTTCTAAGAAGGAGAGTTTGCAATGGAATTTTTTTTTTTTTAATTATTATTATTTTGGTGGTTTTTTCTAAAAACGTTTCTTGAATATATAGAGAAATTATCAAGGGGAGTTTGTTGGAATGAAAGAGGGACGAAAGTTAAAGCTGTATATTGGTGAGTGGTCTAGAAAGAACTATTCTATTTTATTTTATTTTATTTTATTTTTTTATT